CAGATATTTGTTGGGACAGCCCCATGGTTGCCATGGCAGACATGAAGTCCTGAGCCGCTCCTGTGAGGGCCGTCTCGGCGTGGATATTGAAGTCTCCCAGCACAAGAAGCCGTTGAGACTCCAACGCCAGGCTCGAGACCACCCCGCTAGCTCAGGTAGGGAGACTGTAGTGCAGCAAGGTGGACGGTACACTAACAGAATCCCTATTCTGTCCCGGTCACCCACCCTCAGGTGGACGCATTGAAAATTTGTTGACTGCGGGATGGGGGCCCTGGTCAGAAGAATGGAATCTCTATAGACCACTGCAACTCCGCCTCCCTGCCCTCCGGATCTCGGTTGGTGCTGCACGGAGAAGCCTGGAGGACAAAGCTGGGTTAGGTTCACTCCTCCAGCTTCATCCAACCAGGTCTCCGTGATGCACGCCAGATCTGCCCGCTCATCCAGGATTAAATCCTGGATAAAGGTCGTTTTTCCGTTGACAGATCTGGCGTTCAACAGCACCACCTTCAATCCGGAGGGCCCGCCAACTGGTTACACCAATTTACCATAGGAGACCGGTTTGGAATTAGTAATGTAGATATACGATCCGAATTAGGCCGAATTTGTGGTCTCCTTTTCCCGCATCTCCCCTTCCCCACCACGACTTCTATGGGGGCCCCTCGGCTAGTGGAACACTAGCCTGGAAACCTCACAGCAACCCAAATAAATTAATAATAAAGCCCTGCAGGGCTTCAGATTTAGGTATCTGATAGACTCCAGTTTAGCTAAGAAAGCAGCCTATTGCATAATATGCTAGTTTTTGCAAAACTCTTAATCTAAGTAAGAAATAAAATCTACTGGTATGGAAAGGAAGAAAGGAGTGCTGGGCCTCACTTTCCTCAAATACTCCCCAAAGGAGACTTGTCTGGCTCATATTTGAGGTCTCCCCAGCACTGATCACAATTCTTCCCCAGGTTCTCTTTTTAAAATCAGGCTGGGAAACAGTTCATTCTCCTATGTTATACATGGAGTGCAGCTCCCATCATTCATAATTATCATAGCCAATGGTGAAGAATGACCAGAGCTTTGGCCTGAAAACATCAGGAAGGTATTCCCTGTTCATGGGTTAAATTGTGGTTCGATATGCTACACGCAACTGTAGACTTTTTATTATGTTGGTGGGTTTTTGAAAAATCAGACATTGCAAATCATTATTCTAATTGTCATTTTCTGAAACAAACATTTAGGGAGAAACCTATTAAAGGTGTTTGCAGTATAGAAGCAACTAAAATATGGCAATAATCTCCAAATAATAGCCTTGCTTATTAAATTGCCATGATGGAGGAGCACAAGAGGAACTGTGTGTCTTGCTTCATTAGCATTTGTTTCACCCTGTTCTGGCAAATAAGTGGAGAGAATATGCTGTTATGAAAAAAGAAGCAATCACAAGGGTTTTTTAAAAAATGTACCACATCCAGAGATATACTAACAAATTCTTTGGCTGCAAATCTTATAAGCATGTAAGGGTAGAGAGCAAATAAGAAAGAGTGGAAAGCCCCAATGATTTCCCAGAGACGATGAGATGTAGGAGTTTTGCCAGCCAGTTTATCCTAATCTACCATCCTACAATTTTTGCAAAGCGAATATTATATTTTTGCTTCCTTTATTTGCTCCATGATTGACAGTTGAGTGTAACCCTATTCCTACACAAACCACAGGTTGCCTGATACTATAAATTGCAGATTTGTGGCTGAGCAGATCTCATACATTTTTTGGACAGGAACGTTCTAGCTTTTGATGCTGATAACATATCCAGTTTTTGAAAGAGAAAATACAGTCTACCGAAATACTGTAATACCGTATTTCCTTGAATATTAATGTGCCATCAAATGAAATGAACACTTCAATTTAGGAGGTGTACATTACAAAAATGGATTTGCCCTTGCATATAAAGCACACAACAGTGCAGGTATAGCATGAGGAGGCAGGCAGAATGAATGAGGCCATTTAGGAAGCCGTGTTCCTCCATCAGGCCATGCATGATTTCCAAGTGGCCTAATTCACAAAGCCTTAAAAGCTAAGGGGGAGGTTTTAAAGTCCTCCCCCCACCATCTCTCTGTCCGGCCTCCAGGGTTCCTCCGGGCTTTTTCACACAGGTGGGTTTATGCACCTGTGTGAAAAATGCACCATCAAATCTTTTACACATCTCATTTTTTGCAATATAATTCAGGCAAAAAATGTGAGCATTAGACTCAAGTAAATATAGTATATAGGAATCAGCGTTTCACTTTACTGTCATGTAAACATTTAACAACAACAACAACAACAACAAAGGACTAGGGATGGCTTACATGGGGACATGCCCGATCAACATAGTTAAAATATAACACACTAAAGTACATAAAACAGCATAATAAAACAATATAGAACAAAAAACAACATAACACAGTATAAAAACAACCATCAAACAAACAACCAATGGCCTGAGAAGTAAAAAGTTTCAAGTTCAAGTGGTGCAAATCAATTGTGAGGACAGGACAGATGAATAAAGTGCAAAAGCCAGATGACAAAATTAGGAATGTAGGGCAATATGAAATAGAGCACTGTGTTTCTAGGTAGGGAACAGTAGTAAAGCGCAAGGACTATATTATGGGTCAAAGCTGAGGGGCAAAATTATCTAGGGAACTGTCTAATCAAAAGCACAATGGAACACCCATGTTTTTAGATCTTAGATTTAGCCTTCGATCCTGCGAAACACTGAAGATGACTTCACCTTCCAGGGACCTATTCACACTATACATTTATATCTAATGGGGTCTGTAATTTGGTTAGAGACATAGGAGAACTCTGGCTGAGGACTCTACCCAATCTTACGATGGGAAATATAAGTTTGAGTAGATTCCAGTTTAACAGCCATGGGTCCATGTAGTGTGAATGGACCTCAAGTGCCCCACTGAGTACCCTTGGGGGGGGGGGGGATAGTATTCTGAGTGCCAAATAATCTCATCCTGCCCCAATATGGTGGACAGAGGGGAATCACCAGAATTCATAAAGAGACATTTTTTGCAGACAGGCTTCTGCACTTATGGGAGGTGCCTCTGACTGAAATTGGACAATTCAGTTCTCCTCTTCTGCTTCATCTGCTCAAATGCTGTAAAGGCACTGGATCTCATCTGATTTTGGAAGCAAAGCAGGGTCAGCTCGGATGAAAGACCCCCCCCCCCCCCCCCCCCCGGAAAGAAGTAGTACAACCATGGTCTAGCCATCTTAATGTACAATGGAAGAGTTAAGGACTGTCTGTATTGCACTACTAGCAGTAGTAATGAAAAAGAAGAAACCAAAAGAACAATGCAGCACGGAACATTTGAGGCTCAACAGATAAGAAAGAAAAAATATTTGAAAAAAGTGATGGATGGGCTGACAAGAAAATGAGAAAGGATAGTTGAGGGGTAGCAGAAGAAAAGAGAGATCAACAGATTGTGCATAATGAAGGGCAAAAGGGAATAAGTAGGGAAACCCAGAGAAATACGAAAGCTAACTGGAGCTAAATGACAATCCCACAGCTGACACATTAATGAAAACAGACTGTTAACAGCAACAGATTGTTTCAAGAAGATGTTTCAAGGCTGAATGGACAAAACAACACAATAACTGGGAGGAGGGGTGATTAGGAACAAGCACATACTGTATAATAGTAATGATGAGAAAGGACTAGAATTTTGAAAATAAAGGGCTATAAACATACACACAAGTATGGAGTGGGCTGAGTCAGAAGCACAAACCAAAGCTAGAGAGAATCAAGGAAGGAATCAAGGAAAGAAGATGTGGGTAAGAAAAAAAGAACAATCAATGTATCACAATAGATTAGGAGCCAAGAAAAAATATCCAAGAGACATTTGGAAAAATAGTAACTATTGGTAGAAAAACAGATCTATGTCTAATGTGCATAGATAAATATCTAGTAATCACAGAATGTAGCAGCTATGGACAAAGCAGGGCATTACCTAACTTAAAGTAGAAAACACAAGATTAAAAGACACCAGAAAAGCCAGCAAATTAACTGGACTTTTATGGTAATTAGTTGTGTTGAGGTGAACAATTAGGAAAAGCTTTGAAACTACAGAGATAATGAAGATGCAGATGAAAGATTTTTGGTTTGGTCAATATGGTGGTCAAGACAATTAATAGACATACATACTTCGTGCAGAAACAATACATAAAGCAGTACAAGACACAAAGAAGCCTGGGCTTATGGACTCTTCCTCAATATATTTTCTCCAACATAACTTTGGAGAACACAAAAGATTTTCACTTATTTTTTTTCTATTTACAGCTGTTTTACTGTGATTTATACTAAAGTGTGAATAAACTGTGATTAAACTTAAAATTGTTTTTGGAAACTGGCCAACTTTATAAATTGGGTTCAAATTTAAATGTAAGTATATTGTAGTCAAAGCTACCCACAGTTTCTCCAGATGTAGACTAAATGACAAATGTGGTTAGTCATAAATAAAAAGAGAAGTTTTTGCTCTCCTTGTAACCATGAGACTATGAAAGGGTAAAGAAATCAATATAGTATTGTATGGGTTAAGCATTCCTTATGTCAAATGCTTCAAATTAGAAGTATTCTGGATTTCAGAATTTCTTTTGGTATTTTATAATAACTGTATTTGCACACACATATTTTGGAAACAAATATCTGATCATAACTCTTATTTGCACATGCACATATCCTGATGGTAATTTTATTCAATATATTTAAATATGTTTACACATAAAACAAAGTTTGTGTACAATGAACCATGTTTGGGCTTGTCATTCTCCCATCCTACCCTATTTAAAAGGGTTGTTGTATAAAATATAAAATGAAGTGGGGGACAGACACATGTACGTACACTTGAACTGCTAGAAATATAGATTAAAGGAATAAATGATGGATTTACAAGCAGAATATGCATAAAATCATTTGAAACCCCAAATTGGGGGTGGGGTTTTTGGATATCAATTTCTGCTATTCTTACCTTGAGATCTGATGTCCAGCATACAGCAACAGGGCAGTTAGAAAATACAGGTAGAGTTGAACTAGGTGCTGTCTTGGTAAGGTTAAGAGTACAACACTTAAGATGTAACCTGGAGAAAAATAAAGGTAATTTATCGTTAAGTATATGAATATCATAAGACTGTTTTTCATTCCTTACTTCAAGTATGCGCTGAGGGCACCATGTAATTGAATTTTAAAAGCCTCCCTGCCTAGAATGCCACATTTCTAAGAGATCTTTCTCTCTCAGAGAGGTGAGCATAACCATTTAAATGAAGGGCCTTTTAACAAAAGACTGTGCAATTTGTAGTCCCCACTGTCCCATGCAAGATTGTATTATATTGAAGCTAAATTTTACAAAGTATTTATTTATTTATTTACGATATTTCTACCCTGCCTTTCTTTAATCCGAAGGTGACTTAAGGCAACTTAGAGCACAGGCAACTATCTGATGCCATTAAATCAATGTAAAAATTACAATAAACATTTAAAACAGAATTATAAAATACATACATTAAAACCTTTAAAAACATATAAAACCACTACCTACACTATTAGTCTCATCATCCAAAAAATCATCTAAGCCCTTCCAGTATTCAATTTCACATAGTTCCATGTTTATCTATTGCACTAGGTTCCCAAAGGCTTGTTCAAAAAGCTATGTTTTCACTTTTCTGTGAAAGGTCAAGAGGGAAGGGGCTGATCTAATATCCCCAGGGAGCGAGCTCCACAGACGAAGGGCCACCACTGAGAAGGCCCTGTCACCAGGATCCAAGTTTTGAATTGAAAGATTTCCAGTTCACTTCTTGACCTACTTCACAAGGCAAGGATGAGCAAAGGGCATCCTTCCAAATTTCGCCAGGCTGCCAGGACAGGTAGTGACGAGAGAACGTAAGAAATGCAGTCTCTCAACATCTGGAGTGTTCTAAAGTTTGCACCAGCAAAGGGGCTCTTCTCATGATTGCTCACATATCATAGAGGAAAAAGAACATAGCTCTGTCAGTCTAATATTAATGTTGAGGAGGTTAAATTGAGGAGAGGGAATATATATGCCTGCTGCACCATTTCCCTGACCAAAGGATCCTTCATGTTAACCCATAAGAATATCTGATGAAACAATCTATCAAGAATCAATAAATTTGAATGAATGAATGAAGGTAACTGCATATATAAAAATACAAAATGCTTAAAAATTAAAATATAGCATGCAAGCAATATATAATACAAAACATTCAATCTGTGAATAAGTAAATAAAGTAAATATTAAAACATGACTTTGCCGGCAGAATAAAGCAAGTGACGGAAAATGTAAAGAAATGAGTCACTTTATCTCTAATCCACGATTCTCACCTGACAAAAGATAAAAAATATCTTTTTTATCACATCTACTAGGAATTTTCAATAAAACTCCCTCATTTAACAAAAGGAATATAGCAAAACATGTCCAACTGTATCCTTGTTCATCCTGCAAGGGAGTCATTTGTTTTTATTAGAAGGGTACCACTGTTCATGACAAGGGACCCTCCTTCCTTCCAGTACTGCAGATGGCAAAAAGCTGCATCATGCTAGTGTAAATGCTGCTTCAGGTCTCATATTGTGAGAAAGATGATATAAAGTCTTTCTGAATGAAAGGACAATTAAATTTTCCAAGTACCGTAATCTGTAGGAGGAAAATGTCCTTAGTTGTACCTGAAATTTGTGTTAATGCCCAACTGCATCTCAAACTATATTTCAATTTTGTTATTGAACAAAACTAGCTTTGATAGGAGTCCAGGAATGTTGCAGTGATTCAAAATTTCCATATTTTCTCATTCAATGACCTTTCTTATTTTGTCATGAAGGTTGGAGCCAGTAGGACTGACCCATGGGAAAGAAAATCAACTTTAAAGAGGACTCAATCTTATATACTCAGGCATAAGCTTCCACAGAGATTTGCCCTTCCTGTAGTTGCAAAACGAAATGAAATATGTAACTTTGAAACCTGATGTGGCTCTCAGAAGTTTGTATAACTTCAAGTCATGTAGTAGTTACAAGCACAGCACCGACTGCCTTTGGTGCAAGAAGAATGGCACTGTGTCTTTGGACTCTTATGAGAGCTCCCTTTGGAGTTTTTTGTTTGAACAGCCCAATCAGTCTTACAAAATGTTGCTTATTCTGGTCAACTGAGTTACAGCAGCCAAAGTAGCCTGTTCTTTATCACCCATCAATCAAATGAATTATTGTATTTGTAGTATTACTGGTCAGGTTTATAATCTTTTTATTTAAAATGATCCGAATCCTTAAATTAAATAAAGTCTGAAGTCTAGCTAAACTGCCCTCCAAAACAGAAGGGCTAGCTATCACCAAGAACCCTGCAGAAGAAACAGCAGATGTGCCTGTCCCTGATGGACTCCCTTCCCCCATTCACATATTCACCAGACCGCTCTGATACCTTTCAGTACTGATATATAAGCATCCCCACTTATTGTGACTCATTGTTGGATCGACCACTGTTTCAAGAAATCTAAATTATGATCATGTTTCACATTTCTGATCCCTGCTTATAAATGTCAACCCTTGGTTTGCTCTTTTGCTGCTTGGGGGCATGCCATTTTTTTCTCACATTCTGCTCGGTGCCATCAAGCGTTCAGTTTTCCATTTGCAAGCTAATAACTCTTGGGCTCCACTTTTCAAGTGATTCCATTTCTCGACAGTGATCCAGTCCCTAACCCAGCAGATAAGTAGAGGTGTCTTGCACTGTGAAGCTACTAAAATGTTTGGATTTTACTACTAAGTCAGGCTTTGCAACAGTTGCAGTTTTCATGCTGAATAACAATCCCATCAACAAAATAACTGTGTATTCAGTTGAAAATATGAATAAATCTGGTGTGCATAGAGTAGTTTGCACCAAAATTTTACAAAGTTCCTGATGGCAGAGAGGGAACCTCCAAGCAGCTAATACATTTATACATAGACTTTTCAGGCAGACAAGCGAAAATCAGAAGTAAGGATAGTGGGCATGGTTTGGACCCCTGACTGCCATGAATTCTCTGCATTCAATCTATGTGTAACTTCTGCATGAGAAAGGCCTCTCATGCAGTTCACATGTCCACTTACAAGTAAGTCCTTGAAGGGCTGGGATGGCTTCTTTGTTTGTTGCTTCTGTAAAAGCTGTGCCAGAGACTGTTTAAATTGTTGTTTAAGAACACAGTGGTGTAGCTAATGGCCAATAACAGCTGGGTGGTCACTGCAGTAATTTTCTGCTATAATGCTGTCTCTGCTTATGAATCAAAAGCGGTATCTCAGCATTCATTCCACTAAGAAACTAAACCACAAATATTGCCAAAGCATTATTTCATCCCCCCTGAAATCTTTTTTCCACCCACACTGTATTAACATGATGGGCTGTACATGCCCGAATTATAGTGATTCAGCATATTTCCTGAAACAATAATTGGTGGGATATTGGGGGGGGGGGGTAGATCCTCCAAGTCTACCTGGGGATGAGGCTATAGCCCAGTGCAGAAGATGAAGCGGATAAACTACAGGCATGATAGCAACTGAACAGAAGGTCTCACACATTGTTTACAGTGAGAGGAGGCAATCAGCAATGCAAGCCAGGATGTGGTTCATGCCCAATAAATAATGGTTTTTATTCATGGTTTTCTACTTTCATTGGGATCCTGGGTATTTAATCTTAGTGAATGTGCATGCCTGACTATACATGCTTTGACTGGAGGTAATTGAAAGAACTTATTGAACTGCGCTACCTGAATAGTGCAATATGTTTGGACCCAGAGCCGAGTGTCAAGGTTGTTGGTTATGAACTAACTCAAGCCATTGACCATGGCTGAAAGTCTTCAAGCCCTGGTTTTCTCATCATAGTTCCTGTTGTTGTCCAGATAAAAGATCATCCAGCATCAATGGTGAATGCTCTTTATTGAGGAAACTGCATTCAGTGTTTAACTTGAAGCAGCAGAGAAATCCACTGTGGGTTGGCCCACTTCAGAAGTTGTGAGAGTAGTGTAGTAACTTGATTTTTTACCTTTCTAGATTTCTCTAGGTCTTCTAGAAAAAAATATATGGTCAGCTTCCAGAGAAAGTCAACTTCCAGAGGAAGTCCTATAAATGCCTACAGAAGGCACTTCTCCCCTGGAAGTTGGCAAACTCATTTTAAATGCTGCGCTAGAGAAGGGTTCGGCAAATGTCATGGACTGCTCAAGGTGCTGAAGAACAGATTAATCAAATCCATAAATAATCAAATCCATTAATTTTTCAATTTTGACTACTAGATTACTTGGATGGATGAAATCCATCTTGGTAAACCCTCTCTTATATTAAGGAACCAACCGTCAAAAAAAAAAAGAGTTGCAACAGGTTGGTGAGTATCATGTGAAATCAACTGCTTCCTTCCAATCACGATTTCCACTTTTGTCTTTTCCTGTGTTTTGAAACACCAGCACATAAATTTTAGCAACCAGCACAGAGGAAAGTGTGAACAGGAATAGACTGCACAGCATGTTCTAGTGCAGGAGGATCGGTTTTGGCCACATGTACCTTCTTATTATATTAAACAACTAATTTTCTGCAAAGATATAACGATAATGATTGATCATCACACTGCAGAAGAGTTCTTCTCCCTATGTGCATGATCAAAAAGAAACACACAAGACCAAGTCATAAGATTATGAGTTCATTTAAAAATAGCTGCACACTAAAATAGAACATTTGAAAATTAGACCTGCCACTCACTCTAGTGTCTGCTTGAGCATGTAACACACAATGACAAGATCTGTTAGAAGTGTTAATCAAGACTAGAATTCTCTGTCCCTGGAGAATATGATAAAGAAGCAGGAATGGTACACTAAAACTCTGATTAACACGGATGAGAATCAGTCGTTGAGATCCTCAAGAGGTGAAAAGGAAGTCCAAAGGGGCACAACACACTCTACCGGAACATGGAATGTGAAAAGCATGAACCAAGGGCAGCTAAGACAAAGTTAAAAAAATGGAATACATTGAGTGAATGGGCTCAGTTATTAATTAGAATGGAGACTGCAGTCCAGATTGACCATGCCATCATATTTCCCATTTCTACGCATGGTGTGAAAGC